CAGAGCCCAGAGGCCCAGATTTGGGCACAAATCCCTAACTGCCCACAGAGATCTATTTCTAGGATGGCTTGGCCTTCCTCTCATATGGCAGCAGCTTTGCACGCAGTTGGTTCAAGCTCTGCATGCAGCTGGTTTCATTATTTCTGCTACTCCCTCTGTGTCTGACACATACTGTAAGCAGTTCATGTGATTATCTTCCTGCTGTTTTCAGTGGCAGGCTGCAGAAAGGGCAGCTTGACTTAGTGCTAAGTGCATGGGGATATGAAAGTGCAATCCAACACATTATCTACTTAGAAGCAAGTCCCATTCATTTCAATATTGTGTTCTTAGGTATAATGGTACCACCTCAGAGATGTTAAAAGCAGGCAGACATGTACCAAAATTTATTTCCATTCACTAAAGGAATCTCAGAAGGATGGTTTATATTGTCTCCTGCCTGTGAGAAGATGCTGTTGTGTTCGCACCATCCTTCCAAAAGCAAAGCTGTGATTTTTAACAGAACAGTGTGGAGCTGAACCATGATATTAGTGCTATTTTGATGCACATTTTCAAGTCTCAGAAGAGATTGCCACATTCAGGCTAATGTTCTTTGGAGACAGAAATATTAAGAACTTCCCCACGGCATATTTTGTGCTATTTCAATTACATTTTTAAAATTAAAATGAATAATGCAATTGCATGCTTCTTGATTGGTATTTGTTTTTGTGGTAAAACAACACAAATGTCCACAGAAGCTCCTAACGTGAAAGCGTTAGGACTGAAAGCAGCACACACAAATGCTGTAAAAATAAATCAGAACCAGCTATGGGTTCGGTGAGGATTTAGTCACGGGAATGTTCTCATCTGATCTTGTCTTACAAGACACACAATAGGGAATTCCTCTATCAGACTATGTGCTGATTTTGGTACATCTTCATGATCAGCTGTACCTACTGTTCCTTCTCTGCACCTTGATGTGCAAGTATGAGTTTTTCAATGTGAGTCCAAGTAACATGTCAATGTTAGGTCATTGCCAGATTTATATGATTTGATGGACATTTGTGCCATGTATTGACTGGAATATGTTCAAATGCTTCCAGGATTTTTGGAAGCTTAGCTGGTGGAATGTTGGAGTCTAGTTTAGGAGACTTGTTTAGGTACAGGATGTCTGGCTGGGGCTTCGGATGACCCCTCCCCATGTATAGTAGCTGGAAGGTAAGAGGACAAGAAGACAATGCTTCAGCTAGACAACACTGCCCCATAATATGCCCTCTAAACAGCAACTGGGAGATGGGCACAATAGTTTCAGGCTATACTATTTAGCAGGGCAAAGGTAATGGAAATTACAAATCTCTGGTGACTCCACACTTAGTTCATAAAACATTGTGCCAGCAGTGAAAATGTTAAATATAATATAGTCACTGACTTCATTGTTTTTAGTCATTTATGTAACATAACTTTCTCCCCCAAATGTACTAATGGATTTAAATTTCTCTCTGCAGTCTTATAACACATGTAACTGGAGGGTATTCCACTGTTTACGTGACATTGTCAATTTACTGCACATGTAAACTGAATTTAACAGTCACAACAGCAATTCTATCTAAGTAGTTGGAAGAATTCCCAACAGTGTTTGCTGTTGCAGCCAGTGCCAACGTGCAGTTAAAAAGGGATGAACAAATCTTCCATGCCCCCACATACATTCTGCTCATTTTTCATGGGCTTGCTGTGCCCTATGGCTGTCTTAAAACGCGATGGTCAAAGGAGGGAGCATCAAGGAGTCCAACCATGTGCACACCCTCTCCCCATCTGGTCTGAGCAGATCAGATGATTAGCTATTTCCTCTTCAGATTTTTCCAGGTCAGGCTTCCTCATTTATCCAAGCAACAAAAACACTTAAACACTGCATAGGAGGGGCCAGCAACATTTTTGGGTCAAAGAGCCCCAGGAGCCGCTATGGAGGGGGAGCATAGATGAGTGGAGCTAGCACTGGGCGGGAGAGTGTACATCTATCCCCCCCATTCTCATCAATACACAGATACACTATATTCCTGCCGAGAGAGACCATGGTAATGTAGGAAGGTCAGGGCCTCTGTGCACTCTCAGGAATCTTGCAGAGTAGATCACTGTTTCCCCACACCTAACTGCAGGGGAGAAATGGTGATGTTACTCGAGATTGCTGGTGCAGGGATAAGGAAACTGTAGCCACATATCTAGCAACCCTGATGCAGAAGGTTTCACTATTTCTCCACTGTTATTAACAACAGAGAAGTAATAATCCTGCCTTGGATTGGAGCTAAAGAAGTCTAAGGGCAAAAAATGTATGTCGGTAAGGTCTGGGTTATGGGCAGCAAGCTATCAAGACTGTAACACCAGGACACAGGTACAAGGTGGATTCCTGCAACAGGGCCAGAAGCAAGATGTGTGTTGGTTTAACACTGCAAGATCAAAGACATAAGTCAATCCAGTCCAATAATACACAGCCCATGATCACAATCCAAGAAAACATTCTAGAGATCAAGTACCAGAAAAACAATCATGTTTAGATTGGGGAAGGATACAGGTACCTGGGAAAGCATGGTGAACTGCAAACAAGGATGGAAGCAGCAGGAACAAGGCAGACACCAGGATCCCAGCAAGAAGATATAGCAAGTCCACACACACACACAGTCACAAAGACAACTTGCATTGCTGGAGTTAAGGGCAGCACAGCACTGGTCTCCAGGGCCTCCAGTTGTACTGCATAATTGGCTTTCAGCTGGTCCCTGCAAGTACCTGCAAAGGTGTTCCTGGTTCTGCAGGCACTTACAAGTTGCTCAGGCCCTGATCTGTACAATGTCTAATAGTTACGCCCTTTCCCCATTTTTCCTCCAGAGCAGGTGCAGGCTTCATATATCTGGTTCTTCAAAGCCTTGCATGCTAGGGTCCTATCCAGAGTGGAGTTCTGTAGCTACTTTAGAGGAAAAGTGAAAGAAAAACAAAATGGCTAAATAATATAATAATGTTTTTTCAGCTCTCATTGTCAAGGATGTGAAGTCTTGACACAGCTCCCCACTGCTGATGGTGAAGAGCACCATGTGATTTACTCTGCAAGTGCTTGCAAGACCAGGATCATACCTGTAGGCACCTGGAAGGCACTCATGTGGCACAGCTAGGAAAGCTTCCCTGCTTCCTTCTGTCTGCATATTCAGCAACATGGGCCTTTGTGGTGGCTGCATCATGGTTCTGATTCTGTTTCCAGTCTTGCCTTTCCTTGGTTTCTGCCTGTTCCTTACTTTGCTGGAGATGCATAGATAAGTGGGGCTCTGCTCTTGCTTCTGGTCTGACCTGTCTTGCCAGGTACCTGATCCTTGCTCTTGCCTATGATCCTGCTACACCTTGTCAGATATGTCACCTCACCTGTTCCTATCTTTGCCTTTGACTATGACCTACCATGCCTTGCTAGTTATCTGACTCTCACTTGCTACTGATTTGGCTGTGCTTCTTGTCCTTCTCTGGACTGAAAGTATCCGATCCTTCAGCTTTGCCTGTGGTTCTTCTTCATCAATGCCAAGATCTCCATCCACTTGCATCATCCTGAGCCTGGTGCTTCAGCTATATACACCTACTGCCTATGTCCTGGAACTGAACCTTACAGCGGTGGGAAAAGAGTAATTTTGCTCAGGATTGTTTGGGCTGCAGGAATCAGCTTAAACTCCTTCGATCTTGAGCAAGAGCATGATTTTCTCTCTCTTAACAGTAGCAGAGAGGTAGTGATCCTATCCACTGCTGCTGGGGGAGAGGGAGAGGTTCTGCTGATCTGGACTTCCACTGATCATCTGGTTGCTGATTAACTGGACAGTAGGGATGGATTCCCTGGCCCATTTGAGGGCTTCAGGTAGTCCATGCGCTACTCACCCGTATTGTCAATAAAACTGTTTGAGTCTTACTCCTCTGCCTTTGCATTTACCCTGCCTGACCTGCACAAGAGCTGATTCAGACACCAATATTTACCTAAGTATATGTATTGTTTCAGCCATCGTCACTCACTTTCATGATTCTCGGATGGCAACATGGACCAAATTCACCCTTTCTGAAGCTCTGTTTAGCTGTCATGAGACAGCAGAGCCCTGTTCTCAGCAAAATGACATCAGAATAGCTCCAGAAACACACACTTGCCAATAGTTCTATTAGAGTAGGATGTTGGGGCAGATGTCCTGGGCCCTGTTCAGCAGAATGAGCAGGAAGGCCTCCAGATGTAGTAGGCTGTCCTTCCACATTTTGCAGCAATGCCCAATATCAAGTAAAGGATCATCTAAAGCAGGGATGGGAGAATGGAGAACTTCAAAGTTTTGGACTCCAGCTCTCAGAAGGCCCTGGCAGCATAACCAATGGTCAAGGACGCTGTGAGCTAAGTCCAAAGCATTTGGAAAGCCACCTGATTTAAAGGCTCACATAAGACAGTTCTACATTTTTTAAACTGTACCTGATGATTACCTGAAAACAAAGCTGATCAACTGCTAAACTAGAATCCAAAGAGCTACAGAACTATGTTCAATGAACCTACAGTGACTATAGACTTGCCATCGTTAAGTGGAACCTTGCATGTCCTGAGGGAATTTCATACTGTACACCTAGCATGTCCTGAGGAAATGCCTTGGCACAGGCGTGGTGCGGGGCGCTATTAGTTTTTCCTAGCAAAACAAAGTCAGAAATACAGATGTCCAGCAAAGGGACCTCAGCTTTATGTCATCTAAAGTCCCGCAGAATATTACCACTTCTGTATATTTCATCATCTAGATTGGCATTTGATGATTCTGCCCTCTAAGGAAAAACAGACCTTTTGGCTTCACAGAGGAATTATGGAAGTTTTCCTGGCATAGTTAGCAGCAGTATTCTTTTCCTTTAATGAAGATGCAAGCTTTATTCTTTGCATTAATGAAATCCCTTCCAGCTATCCTGTCAGTCTTGCGATTCAGTCATTACTCCCAACAGAAGTTACAAAGTAAGCAAGGGCTGGGAAGAAAGGTGTTGCATGTTACCTGTTTTGTTCTCATTTTGGAGTCTGCTGACAGGTTGTTGTATGTGTAATGGGCCTGTGTGACTCCACAGAAAAGGACTGCCACAATGCCTGCAACCAAAAGAAAAGACACCATCAGATGCCTCTGTTTCCTCCTGGAGTGTGTTCAAAGGAATGGGAAGCAGGGAGCGAGTGGGATAGTCTTGCCTGAAAACTAATTAAACTACATAAGAGGCACAATCTTATGCAATTTTAGACAGAAAAAGTGACTATGACTCTCACCATGCTGGTTTAGGCATGCTGGGAGCTGTAGGTCTATATCAGGATAGCCGATTAAATGTTTTTAAAAAGTCTCCATGAATCTATTATAATGCTTACTGTCAAATAAGCTAGAATTTAGCCTTGATCAAAATAATTGGAGGACATTCCCATCTCACTGGAATTTTAGCAACTTAGTACATATCCACACAGCCTTGTTGTTTGAAGTTCCAAATCACTGCACAACTGTCCCATAAAAAAAGAGAAAGATAGATGTGACATAACAAGCTGAGGTAGAGCAGTTCAATAAAGCTTACATTCAGATAATGTTGTGTAAGATAGGGATGGGTGAATATGTCAGATTTACCTTCTGCATTTATTCATTATTTTAAAATCAAGCTGTTCTCTCCTGGTGAACTTCATGGATTTGGGAAAATTCATATAAAAATGAACTGAACTGCAATCCTCATCTATCTGCACTGGTCAAATTCAATCTGATTGTAACTATTCCCAGTATGGGGAGGACCCTGCTGTATGTACTCACCATATAGCTGTTTAAAATGGGGAGCATGCCAGAAACAAAGAGGTGGAACCCCTAATTCAATGCTACCATGGTTAAATTCACAGGGATTTTGTGTGGTCTGAATATCTTTCAAGTCAGTTGGACCACATTGGTTCCTATTCCAGTTGGAAAGCTTTGAAATTTTTGCTGATAGTTAGAAATTTCTTTAGAGGATTGAATGTCAGCCCAGAAGCCATCCACTGTATTGAGATATAAACTGAACTATGGATTATTTTCCTTGGAAGGGTTATTATTGAAATATTCAATTTCCTTTTGACATCATTCAGCTCTCATTTCAAACTGCTATCTCTTGCAAGGCATGTGTCAAAAAATCACTGGTTTTCTTCTCATTAAAAGTTGGTGAAGTCTTCGGCATCTGGAGCTAAAAATTGGAGTCCCTTCATTGGGGACAATTTCTTACTAAATTGAAAGTTCATTTTCAAGGAAACTTTCAATCGTTTCAGTGTAAAATAATTACAGATTTGATTCCTATAGCTTAAGCAATTTTCCTTCAGTTGCAGCTGTCAGAAGAATGAGTACTTGCACTTAATTGGGTGCTGATGTTTCCCCCTTCCCACTGCTGGAAGGTGAATCTGATCATCATAGTTTACAAAAGCAGTGTCAGTGCCCAGTATTGACTGAAATGGGGCCGAGGTATGCAAGTAAAATTTCCATGGAAAAATAATTAAAAAAATGTAGAGCAGGGATAGACAGAAGGTAAACCTCCAGGTGTTTTGTACTTCAATTCCCACAAGTTTCAGCCACCATGGCCAATGGTCAGGAATTCTGGGAGTTGAAGTAAGAAAAATCTGGAGATGTCCCTTTTGCCTATCCTTGTTGTAGGGTACAATATCATTTATTTCTCAGAAGGTTATTACCTATCTAGTAAAGAATAGAAGAGGGATGAGAGCTGGGGGAGCAAACATACCAGCTTGAAAAGTTTGTGTGTGTGTTCTGGGGCTCAGTCTTTCGGCAGGTGGAGACCAGTTGCATGTTCAAATCCTTTACACCAAGTCTTGGGTCAAGTCGCAAGTCAACTTCCAAGACCATGTCCAGTCAAAAGTCATTGCAAGAAATGTTCGAGTCAAGTCTCTTCTGAAGTCTCCGCTTGCCTCTTACCCTGCCCTCTTGCTCCCTCCACTGGCTCCCTCATGCCAAAAACAAGAGCTGAAGCCTTGCCTTGCCCCTCCCCATCAGAACCCCCTCCTCCCCATCCCACCCCCACCTCTGCCTCCTTGAAGATTGTTGAATAATATGAAACTTAGCTTCCTGCCACTGGAAAAAGGAAAAAGGGACCCATTCAACAAAAGGGACCACATTGTGCCAAGAGCATCAAGCTACAATTCTTTTTATAGTGGGGATCCATATTAGTAATTTTTATTGGTATTGGAATGCCTAACCCGGCAAGTCACATGAGACTCTCCCCAGACTGCCCCCCCATGCTATTTCTGCCATTATATCCCAGATTTCTTCAGACTGGTTATGTCATAGGTTGTGACATATTTTCAATGGAGTGTATAGTCTAGTGTCTGCTAAATTTTTGATTCTTGCGATAGTGGGTTCAGACTGTGGGAAGTAATGCCTTCAAGAGTACATGTACTATCAACTTTTGCCTAGCAGCAGCAGCAGCAGCAGCTTTTGAAAGCAGGTAAGCCAAATCAGCATTCAATTGCTTTCCCACCTGGCTTGCCCTCCCCACATCCTCTCTCTCTTCATTAGTCCAGTGACCCAGAGAGTAAGTACAATGGGACAGCCACATGTCTGCTCAGAAGTAAATCACATTGACTCCAATGGCACTTATCCTTGGGAAAAGGTTTACTCTTGCTTTCAGCAATGCCTTCGGGTGGAAGGGAATGGGTGTACTGATCCTGCTGACTTCACCCCATGTGAGATGAAAGAATGGCAGCATGCATTGCCACAGCTCCTTCTTCTCTAGCCCCATACCCATGAGTTTTTGTAGGAGCTGTCATTTTTCCTACATATTTTAAAAATCCCTGCTTGTTTGCTCCTTTAGTCTTGTGTACAGCTAATGGATAGGGAAGCAAAACACTTTTTCTTAAAAGGGAGCTTTTCCTTGGACGTATTCCTCTTCCATCTCTTCTTATTTCTTCTGCACTTGAATTCTTACATTGTATTTGACATATGAGACAAGATCATGTTTTCAGCACAATGGAAGTTGTAGTGTATTCATTAGCATGCAGCCCCCCAATGGCAATGCATTTTGCATAAATATTACCACAGTGCTCCCTGATAAATGGAAGGGGCTCTAGGCTAGATACCTTCACAGTATAATGTTGAGTATCACATTCATGGTATTCACAAAAAAATAATATAACACTACATTTCCTAATGATTCCTGTTGAGGCTATGCATTAAGTTGTAAGCAATTTAGGGTCCAATCCAGTGCAGATGCCCACAACACCCAATATTTGGAGAAATAAAGAACATCCTATGTGTGGCAGGAAGAATGCAGACAGAAGGGGTGTATTTGTATGGTCCCTGCCTTGCCATACACTTAGACAGCTGATTTTGGCTGTCCAAGTTTGTTGCCTTGGAGCACAAATACAGGAAGCTGAGGCATCACTGTCATGGTGCCTCTCTCCTCACAAGGGTAAGGGTGTCCGTGTGGGTGGTGGCACTCCAGGTTTGGTGTCTCAGCTCTGACCACAAGGCAAGTTTCCAAGGACAGAGCTGGGACTTCAACATATCTCATGGCCCTCTTTGTCTAGCAGCCACAGTAGTGCACTGCCCAGAAATTAAAAAAGAAGAATTAATCTCTTCAACAGATTCCTTGAAAAAATGGGCTGCATGGTCTTATTTATCTGTTATTTGGCTCCCAAGAATAGTTCCACCAAGTCTTTGCATCTCACCATTAAGTTTGGCTTGAGCAAAGCACCTCAATCAGTTGAGGGCAATTTCTACTTCCCACTAGACCCCTACCCAAACCATCCATTGCTGTTCAGTGAGTTCCCTGAATAGAAACCGTTCAGGGAGAACTTAGGAAGAAGAGATGGGAAAGTCCAGTTCCACAAGCCATCTTGAAGTTGTGGTTTTCACGAACTTAGCAATTGCCTTCAACCACATTTATTCACCATTAATTCAATGAACTGGAATGTTGGGGTGCGGAGGGACTCATCCATTCTAATTTTAGTCTTTAGAACTGCTAAATGTTCTTGGTACATTTTAATCATTCAAACCTGGATCTTTCCTTCCTTGACTGCTAAAGCACCTTTTGACTAAGTTTAATGATTGTAAGCCGCCCCGAGGCTTATGCGAAGGGGGTGGCATATAAGCTGTCTAAATAATAATAATAATAATAATAATAATAATAATAATAATAATAATTCAGAATAATGGAACGTATACTATCCATGTGATTTTATTGTGGTTGCACCAGAAAGATTGTCCCTGCTGAAGCTAAGCAGATTGAAATTTGGTCAGTGCCTTGATGAGAGGCTGCTTTGGAGTGACATGAGAGAAGAAAGGTGAAATATAAGCATACAGGATATAGCAATAACTTGTTACACTGACTTCAGGGGAACTTTGGTTTGGGGCTCAATTTAGTTAGATTTGGGGGCCAAGAACTGCCAACTTTGCCACCAACAAGTAATGGGAAAAATAGATGATATTGATTCCATTTACAAACAATGCTCTAAAGGACAACAAGAAGAAATAAAAATGGGGTTCAGGTAAGTACAGGTTTTTATATGCATAATCTATGTTTTAAATGACTGATAGAACTATTTCTTTTTCGAAAAGGAAGTACATTTTGGGGGAACTCAGAAGAATTTCTTGTGGGTGAGAAGAGTCATTCTGTAATAAACCTGAATTAGTGCTTCTGGGCAGTTTACATCAAATCAAAACCAGGGTGGCAATATCTCCAAGGAGCATTTTAATTGGAATGTCCCACACATCTGGGAGCCAGGCTGTTGCTCTGAGGCTTTTGTCAATTGCATTGTACCAGTGCAAACTGGAAACCTTGACAGTAGTCACAGGCTTTCATCAAAGAGACCCAGTTTTTGTCAGGCTGACAGAAAGCATCAGAAAAGTGGCTGAGTTAAACATTTAGGGCACTCATCCAGGGATGTGACACTTTGCCCTGACATCTGAATGCTGAGATTGTGGCCATTTCTGAATATAGCTCATTTTTTTCTTTTTGCTTTTCAGTTGTGTTTCTTAGGTTTGTTTTCATTCCGGGAGGATCGATGCAATTTAACCGATTTCATATTCACACACTATGATATCTTTAAAGCTGAAGAGCTTGATTTTTGTTCAGGACTCCCCACAGGGT